TTTGCAGTTCTGTTTAACCACAAACTCTGGGTTACTTCTCCACATAAGAAGTGAAACTGAGCAGGCACTGTCACACATGCCCATAATCCCAGGGCCTTAGAAAGGTGAGACAGGAGTACCCAAAGTTCAATGCCAGCCACCGCAGTTTAGCGAAACTGACAAACTTGCTGAGACCCTGTCTCAAACACAAAAAGGGCTGGGTGTGTGGCTCCAATGTTAAGTGCCCCAGGATTCAATCCCCAGTACCAAAAAAAAAGTGAAACTTAAATCCCTTCCTCTTCAATTGTGGGATGTTCCATAATAATTTGTCCTCTCCTTTCTTGGATCTAGAATCAGTTATTTCTCTAAGTAGCTGTTTTCTTACAGTAGGAAATAATATTTAAATGAAACACTGGGACAATTTATGTTATTAGATTGGTCATTGTTCCCTGCCTTTTTCAGTGGGGAAAGGTAGGAAATAAGTATTTCCTTGTTTCAAAAGATAAAACAGATCCTGAGTTCCCAGGAGTTGGAGAAAGACTTCTTTGGACAGAGGTGCCTTTGTGATGTAGATGAATGTTCCCCATTCTCCTTTCTTCAATTACCTTTTTAAAGTTTAGTTGCAAGTACACACCATTAAATAATTTTTCATAATAAATCTTATTTAAATTGGAACAAGAGACAATTATCCTTTCTTTTTCTAATATAGTTACCTGTGTCTGAATCATTCAAATTAAATTGAGCCCTTGCATGACCAATGTCACTATGTTTTCTTGGTCTAGTTAAACATTTTAAAAATAATTTTTATTCAGAAAAGCAAAAAAAAAAAATTATAATTCTAGCACTCAGATAATTATCATTAAAATATTTAGCAAAAGTTCTACACATATAGGAAAAATAATACTGTTTGAGAAAGGATTTAAAATGAAAGACTGAGGTGGTGAAATTCTTTCACTGAGGGGAAACGTGAGGCAGGAGAGCTGGCAGGTCATTCTGACCTCTCAGGACCAACCCCCTCTCATGGAGATAAGTCCTCCTAGTAAAAGCTTTTCTTTACAGAGATTCTTTCCTAGAATTAATAACCTGAGCAACGACCATTCATCAAGCTGTGCTATTCTGGTTGACCTGTATCATTATAAGAACCAAGTTGCTGTAATTCCCTTTTTATTTTTTATCTGTAAAATCAGATCCTTTGTATGCCATTTGGCTTGAATAATAGGGTCTTTGTTTTCAATTTTGTTGTGCCTCAAACTGCCTTGTGATTGGGGGTGTAGTAAGAGGGAGAGGGTTCCCTTCCACTTCCCTGTTAGTTCTTTTGTGAGTCCTTTGGCTGAATCTAGGAGCCCCATTAATGTAAGAGCTGCTTAGCAAGAAAATAATAAGTTTTTAAGAATTAATGTGGGGATATTCATAACAGAATGAAGTCTGAAGAAATGACCAAAGCATGATGCTTATTTTAGACAAATAACAGTATATTTGTAAAGGAATCATCGTAGGGTAAATGGATGTCTGGACTAGAGTCGTAAATTCTAGGGATGTTACTGAGAAGTACATGGGGGAGAATAGACGCGTGTGGAAGGTAAGGGTTAAAGAATGTATTCAGGTTGCAGCCCTAATAAACAGTCTGCTCTTTCCCAGCCTGGGTGTGTGAAGGACATCCCTCCCAAGAGAACTCTTGTGACTTGCTGCATGTAGGAAAAGAGAGGCTGAATATCCCTTTCCTCAGTGATTTTAGCTTGAAATAATTAATATACCAATTTGCCATATTTTGTTTTTTTATGTTTTTGTGGTGCATGCTACTAGGGAAATGCTCAACCACTGAGCTACACCACAGCATTTTTTTTTTGAGGATTGAACCCAAGGCCTTATGCAAGTTAGGCAAGCACTCTACCAGCTGAGCTATGTCCCCAGCCCTGATAGTGTGACTTTTTAAAAATTCCTTTCTCTGTTGGGGTGCAGCGGAGCCTCGGAGGGAGAGACCACACAAGAGACTCACTTCATGCAATCGCAGGGGGGAAATTTATTGGGGATCCGTTCCAGCGCGCTGGGACTCTGTGCCCACTCAAGAAGGGAGAGCGGCTCAGAGCCCAGAGCAGAGGTCAAGCGGAGCTTAAGTACACTTTTTGGAGAGGGTGGGGGGCTTTGCATACATCAGAACAAATCATCATGAGGCGCGGGAAAATTGAACAACATCTCTGAGTCAGGATTAGTGCATACACTGGCGGGAACAATCAGGGCAGGAGTGATTGGTGCTCCTAGGTGGGGTACACATTCAAACTGATTGGTTCAGGTCCTGCAATGCCTACGTGCCAAGCAACTCGGAACCCTTAGCTATTAAACAACCAGAAAGTCAGTGGAAATATTTACTGGGCAGTTCCAGTATTGTCCTAACAGCTGCAGGGATTACAGGTTTTGGGGGTAGCAGAGGGACTCTAACAATACCTAGTCTTTTACTTTTTAACTCAATCCCTGCACTTTGGAAACTTTAGGATGCCTGGTCTTTTACACTTTAACTCAGGCTCTGCGGCTTAGAATCAACTTGGAAATTTTACCTTTACATCTCCTTTCCTTTTCTATGGAATAAAAAAAAAACCCAACTATGATTTATTTTCTCAGTGATTACAAAGGGATCACAGCTAGACTCTGTTTTTCAGCGCTAACAGTTGAACCCAGGGCTTTGTACATACCAGGCAAGCACTCTCCTGCTGAGGTACATCTCCAGGTACCTTAGCTTCAATAATATGCAGAAACTATGCTCTTACACATTTCCTTCCTTCCCCACTTCCCTCTATTGAATCCAGAACCTGGAGCATGCTACAAAAGTACTCTACCACTGAAGTATATGCCCAGACTTAAAATTTTTATTTCAAGACAGGGTCTTAGCTGGGCACAGTGTTGCATGCCTATAATCCCAGTGACTCTGGAGGCTGAGGCGGGAGGATCACAAGTTCAAAGCCAGCCTCAGCAACAGTGAGGCACTAAGCAACTTGGTGATACCTGTCTCTAAATAAAATACAAAAAATAAGACTAGGGATGTTGCTCATTGGTGGAGTGCCCCTGATTTCAATCCCTGGTACCAAAAAAAAAACAAGACAAGGTCTTGCTGGGTTGCCCAGGCTTGCCTCAAACTTTCAGCCTCTTGAGTAGCACACAATACCCTACTTCTGCATTAAATTGCTGAAGCTGGCCTCCAGCTTCCAATTCTCCTGCCTCAGCCTCCCAAATTGCTGGAATTATAAGCATGTGCCACCATGCCTGGCTCTTTCACCACTTTTAATCTGTCATCCTGTTAGGTAGGAGTTCCGGATGTGAAGATGGTGTCAGTAGGGTACAAGAAAAATGCGACTTGGAAGACAGGACAGGGAGTTGAGTCATGACATCCCTGTTTATAATGTTCCGGTACCATAGCGACTCCTGCCACTGAGGATTTATTGCCCATGATAACTCCCACCACCACAGGCTTGGAATCTAAACTCACCAGTGGGAGCACATGCGGGGAGCTCTCTATTAGGTCCACACAGGGAAGAACGCCTCACAGCTCAACATAGGAGGCAAGAACTTCCAGACATGGTTTTAGCCACTCTGCTGTACCTGACTGAATGCCACTTTTATCTTCACCTTCAACAAACTGTTCTTTACCTGTTTCTTCTGCTTGACTTGCTCAGTTCTTTACTGGGGACACCAAGGACCTGGACTGCAACTGGAGACCCCAGCCATGCAAATCCCATTGCTCTTTTTTTTTTCTTTTTCACCTGGGATTGAACCCAGGAGTGCTTAACCACTGAGCTACATCTCCAGCCCTTTTAATTTTTTATTTTGAGACAAGGCCTCACTGAAGCAGGCCTTGAATAAGAGATCTTCCTGCCTCAGCCTCCCGAGCCACTGGGATCACAGACATGCCCCACCGTGCCTGGCACAATTCCATGCTTTCTGACCTCCTTGGTTTCAGCTGGGAAATTGGCTGTTCACCTCTCGGAGGATCCCTGTACAAAACGGGGTGCTTCTCTCTCACTGCTTTAAAGATTTTCTTTATGTCTTTGGTTTTGACTTTGACTATATTATGTCAGCATAAGGCTTATTTGTTTATCTTTGTATGGTTTCTTAGAGATTCTTGGATGCATAGATTTATATCTTTGATCAAATTTTGGACGTTTTCAGCATTTATTTTTTCAAGTATTCTTTCTTTCCCTTTTTTCTGTTTCTTTCCTGAGACTCCCACTGTTTCTTCTGTCTGTTCCTCTGACTTTACAATCTCAGTTGACCTACACTGAAGTTCACTTGTTCTTTCTTCTGACTGCTCAAGTCAGCTGTTGAAATGTCTAGTGAGCTGAGTACAGTAGCACTCCCTATAATCCCAGTGACTTGGTAGGCTGAGGCAGGAGGATCATGAGTTCAAAGCCAGCCTCAGCAACTCAGCCAGACCCCGTCTCAAAATAAAAAATAAAAAGGACTTGGGATGTGGCTCAGTGGTTAGACGCCCCTGTAAAAACAAAAAAAGAATTTTTGACTTTATTGTTTGTTTTATCAGATTTAATCAAATGTGCCAATAGTTCTGGAGTCTTTAAGATGGTGAACCAGGGCTGATTTTGGTTTTATCCCTGTTGGAATTCATGTTGTTCCATGAATCTATGCCATCGTCATCTCCTCATTCTGGGACACTTTCTGTACCTGGTTTTTACACTTTATATTTTCTCTGTGTGCGAAATTTTCCACCTTTCCTATCGCTCTTTCCGTCCGTGAGTCTTGTCTTCTGTGTCCCATTTTTCAGGAGACCCATCTGTGGCCACCTGTTCTGTTCTTATGTCCAACACAGTCTCGCCTGGTGGTTCTTGCGACAGGAGCCTGCTGTGCTGCCCAGGCTGGCCCCCACTCCTGGTCCCTGTGGTCCTCCTGCCTCAGCCTCAGCTGCTCCCCCGCTGGCAGCTGGTTTATTGTTTGACACATCCTAAGTCTGAGGAATAGTCTCTGTTATTTATCTATCCTATTTGCCATTTCTCCTCATAATTAGTCATTTTAAAAGTCCTTATCTTTAACCCTAATTTATTTCATTTGTTGCTGTGATTCACTTAAATGTATTCTTTGGATCACCTTTTTTTCCTTTTTCTTATGTTCCTTAATGCTTAGAGATTTTTGGCTCTCTCCTTCCGACATCGTGGTATGCACAGTGAACTCCATTCCTCACCATGTCTTCTCACAAGACTTTCAGGATCAAGCGATTCCTCGCCAAGAAACAAAAGCAAAATCGTCCCATTCCCCAGTGGGTTCAGATGAAAACTGGTAACAAAATCAGGTACAACTCCAAGAGGAGACACTGGAGACGAACCAAGCTGGGCCTTTAAAGAATTGCATTTAAGATAGCTTCATCAGGGCCATTGTCACCTTGCCATATGAAGCTGAAAATGTTACTTATGTCTGAATAATGGGGCGTGTTTAGTGGGAATATGATTTTTTTGCTTTGTTTCTGGTCTCTGCACTAATAATTAATAATAAATTTTGAAAAACCATTTTGTTTGAAAATAAAAGGATTGTTTTGGATGTATTCCAGAATTTAACAAGTGTTTGCTATTGTCACTGGTGTATTTTGTGGTGGTGGGAATCAATCACAGGGCATTCTGCATTCACATACATTTCCATTCCATAATAAATGTGTTAAGAAGAAACCTATGTGTGTCACTGTCAGAATATTCCAGTCTTTACTTTTGCCAGAACATTTCCACATGACTGTTAAACTCCATTGATTTTCTTTTCCCAGTAATGGTCCTCTGATCCTTCATTTATATTCCCAGTTAACAAATAATTTTTTAAAAAATGGCTCTCAGCAAACCCACATAAATACAGTTATCTCATACTATCTAAAGGCACCAAAACCATTCACTGGAGAAAAGAGAGCCTATTCAATAAATGATGCTGAGAAAGTTGGAAATCCACATGTAACAAAATGAAATTAAACCTTTACCTCTCGGTATGGGGTTGTGGCTCAGTTGTGCTCGCCTAGCATGCACAAGGAACTGGGTTCAATCCTTGGAACCACATAAATATGTAAAAATAAAGATATTGTGTCCACCTAAAACTTAAAAATAAATATTTGGAAAAAAATTAAAAACAAACAAACAAACAAACAAACTTTACCTCTCACCCTGCATGAAACTCGACTCAGAGTAGACCAAAGACTTAAGCACTCACTAGACCAGAGACACCCTGTATCTAATAGAAGAAAAAGTAGGCCCAAATCTTCTCCATGTCAGCTTAGGATCTACTTTCTTAACTCGCCTCCTAAAGCATAAGAAGTAAAATCAAGAAATCAATAAATGGAGGGCTGGGGATGTGGCTTACGGTAACGCACTTGCCTGGCATGTGTGAAGCACTGGGTTCGATTCTCAGCACCACATACAAATAAAATAAAGGTCTTTCAACAACTGAAAAAAAAATTTAAAAATCAATAAATGGGATGGATTCAAACTAAAAAGCTTCTTCTCCAGCAAAGGAAATAGTAATAGAGATTACAGAATGCACATCAGATAGAACACTAATCTCCAAGATATTTAAAGAACTCAAAAAACTTAACACTAAAAAAACCCAAACAATCCAATCAATAAATGGGCTAAGGAACTAAGCAGATACTTAAATATAGAATCAATCAACAAATATATGAAAAACTGTTCAATGTCTTTAGCAATTGTTATGCTCGAGTTCAGGACCCCCAAAGACCACCAGAGACTCAAGATCCATGTAAACAGCAAAGAGGTGTTTATTGTGAGCTAGCTCGGTCCTCTGCACACACACACAGCAACTGGTGACTCTTGAGAGGCGCTGAGCCCAGGGTTTGCAGCAGTTTTATACAGTCTATGGAGAAGGCAGGGACTTCACATAGATCATAGCATCTCTTAGCAAATCATCACACACCGTGGGAAAATGAAATAACTCTAAAAAATGACTAGCACATTCACTGGCGGGAACAAGTTGGCTAAGGGTGATTGGTCAGTAAAAAAGGGGTATTCATTTGAACTGATTGGTTTAAGCCAAGAGGGGTGTACATGCTGAACTACATGGTTTCCCAACATGTTATCAACCACCATAAACTACTGGGAGGGTCATCTGGCATCCCAGGTGTTTCCCTGTCTCATGCTGATTGGTGGCTGCTAGGGGTTGCTATGGATCCCCACCTAGCCTGACTGAGTCAGGGACACCTGGCCAGCAGATCTCTCCTGTTATTTGTAGATAAACCACTTAGCAGGGTGGGAATGTGCCTAGGATGTGGGTCTTTCCAAGGACAAAGGTCATGTCCTTCCTTGGATAGGCTTTGCTCTGAGATAGAGGCTGGTTTTTCACTTGCAGTGCCAGGCAAGCGCTCTACCGCTGAGCCCCATCTCCAGCCCCTCCCCTTTTCTTTAACAGCTGCTGGGGTCTGCGGTCTCTGATGTGGCCATTCCCCTGTGAACTACAGCAAGAAAGCTGCAAAAGACAGTGCGGACAGGAGTAAGCATGACTGACAACCGTTGGTCAGCCCTGATCTTCTCCATCCTGTCATTAGTGAAATTCCTCACCAATCTTTCTGCCCTGCTGGCAAAACCTCTTAGACCACATTGTTTTATGCTGTGGCTACTGGCCATCAATTAAGCATTTTTTAAACAAGCAATTCTAAGAGCTAGTTACCATCTGCTTGGTACATGAAATAGTTAACGTTAAACATCATCTTAACTTACTACACTCTAGACAGGACTATCACAAGATGGGAAATCCAGGTTTATATTTCTCAGTGTACCAGAATTTTTCTAGGCTAAGAGTTTAGATCAGGACTAATGCTTCAACTGTAGTAGAGGGTCAAATTATAAAACTGACAGTTTCTCCTATGTATACGTGTGTGTGTGTGTGTGTGTGTGTGTGTGTGTGTGTGTGTGTTGCAATGCTGGCAATGCTGGAGATTGAACCTAGGGCCTCATGAATGTTAGGTAAGCATTATACCACTGAGCCATACCATCTCTAGCCCAGTTTCTCTTATATTTAAAAGTTCATAATATCAAATAAGTTTTACTGATAAAATAAACAAAAAGAACATTCTATCTTTTTGTTTGTTTTGGTGGTATTAGGGATTGATTCTAGGATCTGGTACCTGTTAGCTTGTGATCTATCACTGAGCTACATCCCAAGCCATTTTTTATTTTATTTTATTATATATATATAGAGAGAGAGACACAATACCTTTATTTTATTTGTTTATTTTTATATGGTGCCAGGGATTGAACCCAGTGCCTCACACATGCTAGGCAAGCGCTCTACCACTGAGCCACAACCCTGGGCCCATTTTTTATTTTTGAGACTGGATTCTGTTTAGAGGCTGGCTTCCAAGTTGCCATCCTTCCGTCTCAACCTCCTAAGTCACTGGCATTCTAGGCCTGACTGATAAAAAAGTTTCTAGACAGAATTCCTTCCATTCTGGAAAACCTGTTTTTGTTCTAAAGGCTTTAAAGTAATTGGATGAGGCTCACCCACATTATTGAGGATAATCTCATCAATTGATCATAGATATTAGCCATTTCTACAAACTACCTGCACAGAAACACTAGCCTTAGATTTGCCCAAACAATAGAGTCCCATACTGTAGCCACATTAACACATAAAATATAACCATTGCAATGAATAAGCTTTAAAAATATATAGTCAAAAGATAACAGTATTTCTATTCTACAATGTTCAATTCATAATTAGTGATTGTTTGGGCATCTATAATTTTTTCCTGAAATAAAATTTGATTGTATGCTTGTGGACATGATATAATAATCTGTTTACTAACTTTCTGGGTACATTTATTTTTATTTTATGAACTTTTATTTGTCATCTCTTGTGCATCAGACAATGAAAATGGATATATAATGGCCATAAGAGGGTGGTGGGGTTATGCATATCACACTCAGCAAGAAACCCAGCACCACTCAGAGGGCTTATTTCAGGCTTGTTTCACCAGAGGACCAGATGATCTAGTGCTCTGAAATTCTGGGGCCCCAGCTGATGTCACACGAGTGCTGTCACAAGGGGCTCTTTGTAGGAAATTTTACATCATTCCTTAACTCTTACAACATTGGTGGGTTTGAATTCTCGACGCACATGGCCAGGACCAGGTGGAGAGAATCCAAGATAAGTGGTTCACAGGTGCAGACAGAGACTTGCCTGTGTTATCCTACGTGGGTGGCCCTTCCCAAGGCAGCAGCAGCTCAAGGTGGCTTGAGTCGACCTTCCTAAGAGCTCTGTTTCTAGAAACTAAGCCTATGAAGTTACAGTTCAGACAGCAGTTAACTGGCCTAGCAATTAAACAATGTAGCTACATTTTTACAGAGTTCAGAAAGTTACAAAGTAAAAGAAGAAAGAACTTTTTTTTTTTTTTTTTGGAGGCATCTGTTGAGTCTGGCTTGAAGCCTGGCAGGGCGTCTAGGTTTCCATTTCAAGAGGCAGTAGTCAGCCTCCCAAGCCAGTTGCTTACCACCCAATAGGTAGGAACCCTTGGTTAACTGGGTCCCTAGAAGACACCAGGTCTGGATTTTCCAGCGAGAGCTGATATAATCCTTGTACCTTTTCACTAAGCACCCTGTAAGTACTTTACCATATTATTCACACAGTACCTCAAAGACACGTGCTGCTCACGATGCTCATGAGCAGTAGGAAGGGACAAGCGGAAGAGGGACAAGAGTATAATAAGCATGGGACAGGGTTTACGGGTAGAGTCATTTCAATTTAAGAAGCATTAACCAGGTGACAAAAAAGGGAAATGCTTCTCCAAATATTGGAGCCACAAATGCCAACTGTCAAAGTCTTAAAATAACAGGGCATCTTCTGGAGAAGCTGGGAATCAAGAGACTGGAAATGAGAAGGGGCGGCCAGTAGGGGCAACAGACCACAAGGCTACCCAGGAGTAGATTTGCTCTCTGCAACTGCTGTATTTCCAGACTTCTCTCATGGCTTTTGAAAGAGATCCAGTAGAAACAGGGAGAGCTGGGCAGTGGTGCATGTCTGTCATCCCAGCAGCTCCGGAGGCTGAGATAGGAGGATCAAGGGTTCAAAGCCAGCCTCAGCAAAATGAGGCATAAAAAGCTCAGTAAGACCCTGACTCTAATAATATTCAAAACTAGGGCTGGAGATGTGGGTCAGTGGTTGAATGCCCCTGAGTTCAATCCCTAGTATAAAAAACAAACAAACAAACAAAAACAAAACAAAACAACAACAAAAACAAAAAACAGGTACAAAATAAATTACCTAAGCCTGGAGTTTTCATAGTTCACAGTGCAGAGAACTATGTATAATCCTGACTTCTTTTGTTATAGAGTATCTTGTGACAGCTGGAATTCCTCAATAGATAAAGCAGTGGTAATATGTGGGTTGTTTTTTGTTGTTGTTGTTTTTGGTACTGTTGATTGAACCTAAAGCGCTTTAGCCACTGACCCACATCCCCAGCCCTTTTTATTTTTTATTTTGAGACAGGGTCTCACTAAATTGCTGAGGTTCTTACTAAATTGCTGAGGCTGGCTTGAACTTGAGATCCTCCTGCCTCAGCCTCCTGACTCAATGG